AGTGAGTGTGAAGCTAACTAAACAGTTAGCAAGCATGCTATTAAATATTTAGTTTGTAACTAAATATTTGATTTTTAAACAAAATATTTATTGTGCTAATGAAATATTTACTTTGCAAGCCAACTGTTTAGATCAGATCTAAATAGTTTGGTTCCATACTAAATGTTTAATTCTGAGTAAGCTAAGGATTTAACTTGTTAATTAAATATTTAGTTTGAAGCTAAATATTAGGATTGTAAATTCAATAGCTAGCTTAATAATGAAATATTTAGTAAAGAAGCTAGCCATTTAGCTTGGAGCTAAATAGCTAACTTGCTTATCGTCAACAAATTAAATATTTACTTTGAAACTAACCCTAACCCTAAAATTAACGGAAAACCCATGTGTAGAAACAGCTGAGTACGTTTGTTTTTCAACAAATAAGAAATCACTCTTTTAAAATGTTATATTTAACATTTAAATATAAATCGAGTATTACCTGTATCGGAGGAAGGTGTCCAGGTGACTCTGAATATCCCACGCAGACACTCGCACATGGTCCGCAGCAGGAGGCCCAAAAGGAGGCGATGAACCGGGGGAGCAGCCCACACGCAGGCTGGGAGAACTGTGGGAGGCCGGTGGGTGTCGGAGGCAATCAGAGGGTCGGTTTAACTGTTTGGGTCAGAGTGACACTGAGCTACACCGTCAGCATGGATACTGAATAGCCAGACGATGACAGAGAAAGAGGGAGGAGAGTACCATGGATGGAGGGATGCGGTACCGATTCACAGAGGTGGGCAGACTTAGCCAAAACCTGAACTCAAGTAAGAGTAGCGCTACTTCAACATATTTTTACTCAAGAAGTAAAAGTAAAAAGTAGCCACCCAAGAAATTACTCAAGTATGAGCTAGAAAAAAGCAATTAGTACTGAGTAACTGTAACAAGTAACTGATTCCGGAGTTTTCTTTCAGCTTTAGCTGCCGCCATTTTGTGGCAGCGTAGCGCCGCCAGACGGAGTGCCGTAATTTGCCAACAGCTGACGTAAACTACTTGTAGGGGGCAATTAATTTCACATCAGTTCAAACACTTCAAAAGGATAATAAGTAGATTGATAAACACAAAAATGAAAGATATTATATCTGTAAGTTCTGAATGTTTTAGTTACTTTTATAACCGCATAATATAGTTCTGCTAACAGAGGTGGGCAGAGTAGCCAACAATTGTACTCAAGTAAGAGTACCACTATTTCAACATATTTTTACTCAAGGAAAAGTAGGGTTAGGGTTATAAATTATAAATTATTTAATTTTTAAAAAATGCATAACTAGGCAGATCAAAAATATAAAGTGAAGAGGAAATTTTGATATTTTAAAGACAAATTTACAGTAATTAATTCAAGTAACAAAAAAAATAACAAAATCAGGAAAAAGAACATTTTCCCAAATCAGTTTATTTAATTAAAAACTCACGAAACTTTAACAAAAACTCCAGATGTGAGTCTGTGTCTGGTGAAGTTTTGGTTAAAACATGTTTGTTTTTCATTCAGTGTAGAAAATCCAGAAATTTTACTCAAGTAAGAGAAGAAATACTTCATAATAAAATTACTCAAAGTACAGCGTAGTGAAAATACTCTTAAAAGTAAAATTTTTCAAAAAAATTTACTCAAGTACCGTAAATGAAACTGAGTAACTGTATCTAGTGTGCTCATTTATTAGTAACAAATGATTAATTTCACTTTTCTTATCAAATCAGCTGACTAGGATACGTAGTTTGCTTTCATGTCTGTTTATAAGTGTTTGTTAGAAATAAAGATGTATAAAGGCAGAGCAGGAGTGTATTAGCAGTAGTGGACAGTCAGCAGTTTGAGGTGACGTTTGCCAAAGCCCGGCTCCTTTGTCTGCTGCTGCCGGGGGCTTTATCTGTGGCCCAGCAGGGCCTTGTTTCTGGGCTTAGAGCGGCTGGAGTCTGGGTGTTATTCAGACAAAATGACTGCAAACTCACCACAAGCCCGGCAGCTCGGCTGGCTGATCATTTGTGATGATTTAAGTCTGAATTAGGAGGGAAACCGAAGACTTAAACCGTTTTATTTTTTATCTTATGTGGTCAAACTTGTGTTTGACCACAGGGATTTATTTTTATTTTTTTTCCTAAATAAATAAGTATTTTCACTTCATCTTTTCTCCTCAGTGGTGAAGTCAGCTGTGTTAGTGCTCTAATAGCAAAGCTAATTTTTTTCAACTTTGAAAAAAAGCTTAGCTCCCAGAAAATAAATTTTTTTGGTAAAAATCCTAAAATGCAATTTTTTTTCAGCTGTTTTGTAAACTTTTAGATGGAAAACATTCAACATTTGTGTTGAAGTTTTGTTTATTGAATGTTGAAAATTCAGTAAACAAACATTCATGCTCTTATTTTGAAAGGGGTGGTGGCAGTTTACATAGCAGCTCATTTTCTTCTCCTAATTGTCTAAATATGCAGAAAGATTATAATTATTGATTTATTGCAATCAGAGGACATATGAAAAGTGTTATGAAAAAGCATTTTCTTACCTAACAAACTTTATGCTCACAAACAACTGTTGTGGCCTGGCTGTCTGCTCCCTGCTCAAGCTGTCAATCGTAGCGGTGTTTAGCTTTATTGTCCTTTTCCCTCATTTTTGTTTTGTTTTGTGCCTTAAATCTGAGTTTAAGGCACAAAAGGAAAGAAAAAGGTTATAAACTTTTGTTTCTTCTTCATATTTCCAAAAGCTCATACAGGAAGCTTGTAGCAAAAGTGCTCAATTCATCCTTTTCCTGTGTTGCCAAATAATAGCAATTAATTTTTTTAATTGTTTATTTATTAAATAATTTCTTTATGTAAATAATAAACAATTAAGAAATAATTATGAATTATTTCTTAATTATTAAAGAACTAAATAACGTTCATTAGAAGCAATAAAAACTAATTTATTTCTGTTTTAATAGTAAAAATTATTCATGCTTACTTTTGGACACAAACCTTCGCTTTCCGCTTCATTTTAAGACTTTAACTTTTTTTTTAAGTTGTTTTTCCCTTTTTTTAAGGGAATAAGTGAAGATTGGTCTGTGCTGTTTGTGTGCAATAAGCCTCAGATAATCCGAACAAACTGCAGAGTGGCTGATAGCTGAGTCATGTGCAAACGTTTCCTTTCTCCTGAAACCCTGAAAATCCTGTGGCTTTAAGAGACGGTGGCTCAGATGGATCAAACGGTGTTTCTTCTCATCAGTCGCAGCTTAAACGTCTCATCTTCAGCTCCTTTCTTCTTCTCTGCTGCTCAGAGGAATCGTTTGCTTTAAGACACAAAACCTTTAGGCTGCCAAAAATAGGAGCAGCAGCACAAATGGAAAACATGCCACTAAAAAGCTTTGTAGTTTATTCATCCTTATTGTTTTTATTTAATTCATGAGAAGGACTGGCAGCCAATCAACCACTGACCTATACAGATAAGTGAGAATACAAAATGGGAGGATGGAAAAAAAAATATAAAGGGCTAATTTTCTACCCAAAAAATCTCAGAAATTTTCAAGAAAAAATTTAGAAATTTTTGAGTTTGAAAGATTGCTAGAAAAAACCTCAGATATTGATCTTAATTTACAAAATTTTGTAGAAAAAAACAATGAAATCTCTGAGCTTGGAAAGTTGCAAATTTTCTATAAAAAAACATGGGAATGTCAGCTTTAAAGGCAAATATTTGCTAGAAAAAAATCTGAAAATTCTGAGAAATTTCAGAAATTTTTCCTAGAAAATGTTTGGGTTTGAAAAATCAAAAAAGAAAAAAAAATGCTAGAAAAAAACTCTGGAATATTTGAGACAAAACAAAGAAATTTCTGACTTTGAATAATCTATTTTTTTTTACTTTTCAAAGTCAGAAACGTGTTTTTTAATTTCTGACATTAATCTCAAAATTCCTTATTTTTCTCTGTCAAATTTTCTACTTTTCAATTTAGTTTGAATTAAAGTTAGCATTTTAGCATAAGCTTCTACTAAATAAAAAGTAGAAGCTTTAGCATTAGCACCACATGCTAATGCTGTAGCATGTGGTGCTTTAGCATTAGCAGAACTGATCTTGGTGCTTTAGGGTTGACCAAGATAACTTTTTAGGTAACGCCACTGCAAATTACCAAAATAAAAGCATCTACTTTGTAACTTATTTCCCGCGTCCGTTGTTGCACAAACATAAAGTCAAACTCTGGTTGGTACAGGTGGGTTATTGAACTGTCTCTGCTGCATATAGATGCCCATAAATGCAAATTAATAAAACAAATAAAACAAGTCACAAAGTCCATTGAGTAAATTTGCATTTAATATCCCTCTTGTGCAAAAATTTATTTTATACAGAATAAATAGCAGAGAGCTGCCGACTTAGAAGGACAGAAAAGGTTCGGGGTGGATCTGCGGTTCTGATGCTCCTGATGACTAGAGAGAAGGAAGAGCAGCGATCAGGTTTTCATCTGGAAGGATTGAAGCTCAAAGGAAACACTGTAAAAATGATTTCATCCTTGCTGTGTTTCAACCTTCATTTAGTTATTCTGTCATGTTCTCCGAACTGCAGGGCTAATGCTCATTTTACAGATTCTATTTCTGAATGACTGAGATGAAATCTAGATCAAATCTGCAATGGAAAATTTGACTTTTTTAACTCTGAAATTCCCAATTTTATTCTAGAAAAGTTTGAATAGTTGAAAATTTGCCAGAAACAAACTCAGAAATGTTGACATTAATCTCAGAAATTTTCTAGAAAAAACTTGGAAATTTTAGAGTTTGTAAAGGTGCAAATGTGGTAGAAAAAAATCCTCAGAAATTACTACAAATTCCTGGGGGTTTTCTAGCAAATGTTTACATTTTCAAATTCAAAATTTCCTTATTTTTTTCTATAAAATTTCTGCAATTAATATAAAAATTTTAGATTTTTCTTGCAAATTTTTGAGATTAATCACAAAATTTCAGTTTTTTTCCTCAAATTTTTTTGACATTTCAAACTCAAAGTTTTCTTTGTTTTGTTTTTTCAAGAAATTTGGACTTTTTCAATTCAGAAATATCTTACTATTTCTTAGAAAATTTATAGGATTAATCTCAAAATGTCTGTTTTTTTATTTTGGAGCAAATTTACTCCTCTTAATTTTTTTCTGTCTACAACGGCTCTAATACGCTGCCGTACGTTTCAGCTTCATGTAACATGAAACTGAAATGTTCCGCGTTCAGATAAGAGTCTTTTCAGTTCACGTTAGACAAAGCAAAGAGATTAAATACATCCACTAAACAAAAGGCTGTGTTTCTTTTTTCCTCAGACTTTAAATTGATCAGAATCAGACGTAGCTCAGTTTTTCAGTGTGGTGGAGTTTGTTTCACCTCCAAACATCTGGCAGGTAAAAGTGAGCGAGTCAGAGAGGAGGAGCCACCGGTTGCTGTTCGCACCCTCGTCACCGCGTCTGTCCACCGGCAGGACGGAGCGGCAATTAAAGTGCAGAGAAAATAAAACAAAAAATAAACAGGAAAATAGATTTAATTTGACTTTACAGAAGTGGACTTCCTGTGGGGGTTAGCCAATCAGATTTCAGGTTCAATTTAAAGAGCTGAAAATGAGTCTGAAATAACTGAATAATATAAACTATTGATTTTAGTTTAAATACTTTTATTTATTTCCAGTTTTATCTTAATTTTTACAAGTCTGGTTCATTATTCGGTGATTTATTAATTCATCCATTCATTTCTTTAATGACAATAGTTTGAGATTCACTGTAAAAACCTCTGATTGTTACCTGTTGTACCAGAAGATTTTTCATCACTTCCTGTAAAGAATCCTCCACACTTCCTGGTAAAGGAAAATATAAATTAAAAAAGTAACTCCTCTTATACTTCTTATATTCCTCTTATCTAACTGGTTGCTTAAATCTTGAGAAAGCACCAATGTTTGTGACATTGTAAGCTTGTAGAAAACATTTGCAAACTTTCCCAGGACTCCCAGAAATAACTGGTTTGTTGAGACAAGATGGCTGAATGTTGGCGTCAAAGGAGCGTTTTATCTTTGGCTCGGCGTATTTAAACCCCACTTTGCTCACCTCGGGTCAGATGTGTTTATCAGCAGAGACTGGGTGGTCAGGCGATTAGACACACCCAGAGCCAGGGGTCAACAGCTGACCCTCCAAAACGCCCACAACCAATTACAGGCAGCGACTGGGAGTTTAAACTCCGGCAGTGATGTCACGACTTTGGGGAGTTTAGTCGTTTACATTTCTAGTTTATTCTCTTAAATTTATAGTTTATTCATTTCTAGTTTATTATCTTACATTTTTAGCTTACTGTCTTCAATTTTTAACCTTTATCTGTCAAACAGCTATAAGGGAAAAATAAACCTGCACCAACAGCGCCTATTAGTGTTTGAAATCTGCTACTGCACCCAGACAAAAAAAACCCCCTGAAAACTGTAAGATACTGGAAATCAGGAGATATTAAAACTACTGAATAAAACTGTTTTTCTTTCATTAAGGATTATATAAGCAATATATCACATCTAATGTTGTTTAAAATTGTCCATAAAACGGCAAAAATATACAAATATACTTCTGATTTGTTTTAAAACTTCAAACAACTTTCTCTTAAATATTTTGGATATGGAAAACTGAAACTGACATAAAGAAAAATAAAAACAGAAATACATAAACCAATAGCCTTAAAATGCACCAATTCATTTAAAAAATTGAGAACTTTGCCTGATGTTTTAGAAATAAATTGACTTTCTTTTTTTTCAGTTTAGTTCTAACAACTTTGAAATAAGACAAAAATAAGTTAGAAGTAAGGTTACAGCAAAAGCAGCCTGTTTTGAGTCGATAAGTCTTGAACATTGATGAAAAAGTAGCTTCCCTAGCAGATTATCTTATTTAATACGAGACATTTTTGCCATGCTGTAAGACAAATAATCTGCCAGCGGAACTAGAACCGGGTTGCTAGGTGACGGGCGGGGCCTCGAGGGGTTGCTAGGCAACGGGGCGGTGGCCGTGAAACGTGAAATGTGAAATAATCTGCCAGAAGAAGCAGAAATTTTTAATTAATATTAAATGACTTATTGACTTAAGCTCCTATGTCTTTCTGAAAACTTGTACGTTAATTTTGTCTTATTTCAAATGTTATAAGATATTTAAACTAGAAACCAAAAATACTTTTCTTTTTTTTTTTTTTTTTTTTTTTTACAAAAATGTTTTTTTTTTCCGTGGAAAAAGGGTTAACACCTGTTTTTTG